CTGTAAAGCAGCTGATCATCGAGATGTATGGAGACGCCGTCTGTTTTACATACCCAAGTAACAAACGAATATCCCAGATGGTACTTTGTACCAACAGTTATATAGAGGCCTTGGTAGAGTCCCTGCGAGTTTCACCTGTCCAACAGGTTGCAACTGAGCTGGCGCAGGAGCTGAATGGGTGTCCCTGCAGGGTAGCTGGGATCAAGTGTTGCAAGTACTGCAAATGCAAGGGAGGTGATTGTTGTAAAAACCCTATCACTGAATGAGCACTGCTCATCATCCTCATACGGGGACCTGGACTCTGTTGTCTTACTCTTCATGTTCCTCACCCTGGTTTACGTGACACATAAACAGTACTAATGTGGTGTTAAATAAGTATTGTTGGCTGTTGGGTAATTTATTTAAGCTCTCTACATGACACAAATGTTCTAACTTTGCTCTAAGTCCAGAAAGTTTAAATTAATAAATATAATGGCCATTCCAGTGTGTATAGGTAGTTGTATGTAAGTTGACCTATTAACGGTTTTTAGCCATTTCTAGTAAAATATGAACATTTTGAGGGCCTCAAAAGCAGTCTTGTTAGTTTATAATTCAATGGTTATATTAATTAGTAGAAGACCTAAGTTAAGATAGGCATGTATGCACATAATTCATGAGAGGATAACTCAATTTCCAGTACTTGGGTAGTTGTATGGTAATAAGTGGACCGAATGTTCTCGTGAAATATCAAATTAGAGATTTCTAATACCCCCTCCCCCTAGATATGGCCATTCTGAACATTTTGAGCACCTCAGAAAATCTGTAGCTCAAACGGTTTAGAAGATACAGCTATATCGGAAGTAGCACTTCCGATGAAAAGGGGCGTGGTCTTTAAAAAAAGGGCGTGGTAATTTTGGGGCTTTTCGTCCCGGATAGAGATTTTGGCACACATCCCAAGTTGTTCAGTGGGGTCATATTAGTCTAGAACAGTTGAGATATTCTCTCCTAAATTAAGTGCATACATATCTAACCCAGGTCCTAGACTAATATACAGTAAAGAGACAAACCCACCAGCATTATAGGATATACTATGACTTTGTGCCAAATACTTGTTGCTGATTTAGAGTACTGGCACCTTTTTTATTCCAATTCAAGCACTGCATACAGGGGCACAAACGTGTACATCTCTCTCTTTGAAATGACCTGTGTTGTTGTTCCAGCTGAGGACCGTCGTTTGGCTCTGCTGCCGGACGTAAAAAACCCGGTCTGCGTCTTCAGTGACGGCCACGTGGGCGCAGCCTGCAGGGATGGTGGCGGTGGGTTTGTGGCGGAGGTCGTATTTCAGACTCCACAGACGGACGCTGGCATCTGCCTTTGAGGCTGAAAGCACAAAGCCGTGACACAGAAGAACAGAAGTGACGGGGGAGTCTGAGCCACTCAGAGTGTCCAACAACGCACCGGTGGTCGCCGACCAGATCTGTAAAAGAAGAAGTTCATACAGAAAAAAGAGCATGTGAAAACTGCCTCAGTAGAGCTGTAGATTCTCCACAAATAGGTCTTTAAGATGTACTTTAAAGCAGCTGGGTTTTTTTTAAGTGTGGAACATCTTGACGTATTCACTGTGAATTATACTGTGGAATAAAATAGCTGAAATAATTTGTACTGTGTAGCAGATTGATGGCTTTTACTGTAATACATATATGGAGAGTGTTTGATGTGAAGCACCTTAAGTGCTTTGAGCAGTCTGGGGGTTTTCCTGTGAAGCAAGTGAAAGACTGTTAGTGCACAGGCTTTTACAATAAAGCAACTGGAAGGATTCTATTATAAAGAAACTCTGATGGTATTTATGTGTACTGTGTAGCAGCTACAGGAATTGTGAAATAGCAGAAAGGCTGGATTTGCTTTTACTTTGAGGCAGCTTCATGGATTTGACAGTGAAGCATGTAGAGGGCTTTTACTTTGAAAAAGCTTAACATTTTGCTGAGGTGAATGAAGAGAGCGTTACATTGGGAGTTTGAGGACCTCCCACTATGAAATAACTGGATAAGCTTTACCTGTGACACAGCTGTGGAAATTTCACTATAAAGCAGCTTAAAAGCTTTTACTTTGAAGCCGCTGCACAGGCTAACTAGTAAAGCAACAGGGAGGATTTTAGTATGAGGCAAATTTGGGGCCTTTATTCCATCTGTGAAGCGTGGCTTTGACAGAACGCCTCACGGAGAAGCCGCTGCCAGCACATCATGATTACCATCTACATCTACTGTATGTTAGTGTGTTACTCTGATGAGTTGGTCAGCAGCTCCTGAGGCGAGCACTCGGCAGTCTGAGGAGACGCAGGCAGACAAAACGCTGTCGTCGTGTTGGAGCTCCAGGAATCTGTCCACAGAGTCTCCGTCGATGTTGAAGAGGCTCAGAGTCCGATCACTGCCTGTACAGGACACAAACACAGTGTCGCTTCTTTCACTCTGAGAATGTGCACATGGACGTGAGAAACAGGAAACAGAATGAGATCCTGGCTTCCTCTTGTTTTATCCCTTCAGTATGCTGCACATGGAGGAACATGAAGGAAGACTTGACAATAAACTATGTTTTGGGGAATTTTATCAAATGTATTTAAAAAGTCCCCCTATTCCGACTCATTTATAAAGAGAAAACAGACTTAACAAGCCAGTCTGTTTTCAGTATTTATTTGTTAGTTATGTCAATAACAGTCCTACCTGCTACCAGTATGTTTTCATCCTCATTGACTGAAAGCAGAGAAGGAACCAGCGGAAACTTTACTGCCATGTGTCTCCCCTTCAAGGAAATCTGCAGATAGGAAGGTAAATACCATCATTATGAGTTATGAACATGTGTAGCACATGTTAAGGATAAATACTGGCTGATTATAATGTGACTGGGCTGGCATCCCCCCCACTGGTTCACACTGACTGTTGCCTATGAACTATGGAGCAGGAAGTATTCCGAATATTTACTTAAGTAAAAGTATTAATAACTAGCTTTAAAAATAACTGTAACTGTAAAAATGTTACTTCATTACATTAAGTATGTATGTAAGTATAATAAGAAATGTATTTAAAGCATCAAACTAGACAAATGTAATGAGACTATATCTTCAGTTCATTATTTAAAATCTGGATTTTACTGTAATATTTAGATGAGGTGGAGCTAATTTTAATGAACTAATGATTATTTTTATTTTGTATTTAAATGTTGATTAATTTCCTTTTTTTGGTTTGAAACAATAAACAAATAAGTGAGAAATGCCCTCACAATTAAAACACAATAGTACAGTATTACATATAAAAATTACATATATTAATATTTAACAAATAAATAATCAAATTAAAAATATATTAATTGGTTTAAATGTAACGGATAAACTGTTTCAAACATACAATATTTAGAGGAAATTAAGAAACAACTTCTTTGGAGCCAAATGATTGAACTTAGGAGGATAGTGGAATTTAAGATATTTTGTATGTACTATTGATATTTATGGATGTTTAGGGGATTGTCTATCGGCCAAACTATTAGAGTATGTTATTTTTACACAAAAAGAAAGTGTCACAATTGCAGAGTTATTATTTCTTCTTGCTCTAAAATTCTCCAGACATCCAGCTCCCATGTAATACATTTTGCACAACAAAAAGAGAATGACAGATGGAGAAAACACACACCTGATAGAGGAAGCCTTCTTTAGAAACAAAGAAGACTTTCCCACGTTTTGGTAAGTTAACAGATTTAGACAGGGTCACACTTCTCTGACAGTTTTCCAGCCGAGTCTCAACAGTTTGAGTCCCATTGATAGGTTGAGATATTCTGACAAGACCAGAATTACACATAGAAACCACTGATTCTCCCAGAACTCCCAGCACCACCGACCCGTCAGCATTAGTGTTGCTGAGGACCTCACCCCCGTCCAGCTGCCACACCTTCACCTGAAACAGCAAGAACTCTGATCCAAACACAATCCTGGATTTAACTACAAGTACTAGTAGTGGTAGTAATTGTATTTATTTCAAAAGCAAAATGACTAGTAGTAGTTATGATGTTATAACAACATCTGATATCAAGGATCTGGCATAAATGTTCAATAGAGTTTTGCATTGAAGACATCATTTTGTATGCCAACACAAATGTTAGCGTCAGAAGGGTTCCTTAGGAAAAAAACTGGGAATTTTTTTATTGGATTTTGGAGAATTGCAGAAAATAAGATAGGTGTCATCACACGTTTGTGATTCTTCCAAATTTGTTCAGCAGAATAATTTCCACTTATTAACACGACTTTATGATTTTTGAAGTGTGAATGAAATCGCCAGAAGTAAAAAGTTAAAATTAGGCTAGAAACAGCAACATCATGGTCACAGTGCTTTGGATCACCACCCACTAAGCTAAAAGCGGACACCGGTTAGCTTTTATGGCAGGAGCATTTGACATTTACATGAGTGGGGTATTAACTTTCATATTTTATGTCATAGAGTTATATCGCAAAACTCCTAAGATTGTGTTACCACAGACTTTATTTTAGGCATCTAACCAAAAACCTGTTCAGAAACGTTGATGTTTATGTTTAACCAGAAGTGGTAAAATGATGACTCATTTACGGGCTTTAGGACTCATTCCTGAACAACTCTATTGGCTTCATTATGGTACCTGTGTCCTGGTGTAAATGAAGATCAGCTGTTCAGACAGGTGTATGTGTACTGAGGAAGGGGCGGGGTCGACAGGAATGGCCTCCTTGATGCAGAGCAGCTGTTGGCCGTTCACCAGGCTCCACCTCCTCAGAGAGCCATCCGCTGCCACTGAGAGGCAGTTGGCGGCGCTGTCAACCACCTTGACGCACAGAACAGCACCTACAAACAGATTAGGTTATTCATATTTATATTAATAATGACTTTATATCCTTCTTACTATTCTCTAATGAACCTGTGTGTCCTAGCAGTGAGTGTACGAGCTGGTGGTCAGAGAGGCTCCAGACAGCCACCACGCCACCATCTGAACCTGCAACCAGAAGCTCCGCCTCCACATTGAGGTCCACACAGAGCACACCTGAAACGAAAAAGAAGAAGGCGACAGGTAAAACCTCTGATGCGGGTCCTCACAAAATACTTTCAGTCGGCTGCAAGCAATGTTAGCTAACATAGCTTTGACTTGCTCACTTACGGTTAGCATCATTTCGGAGACCGAATGCAAAACTAACAGCAATGAATACATTTGAAAAGATTAAACTAAACTAACTAACAACTGACAGCTTGAGATTCGTTGTCACAGGATTTATACCCTGTTAATTATTGAAGTTCGAACAAAAAATATAAAAAATGTTCACTTTCTAGGTTTAAACATACATTTTTTAGATCTACTTTATCTAATTTAATGCTACTTTAAGAGTAGCAGCATAATTCCCTGACCTCCCTGCAGTCCGGTCAGCGTGTATTGTAGCGCCCCTCCTGGCTGCCGCAGGAAACTGCACTTGGGAATGAGGATGGGCTCGGGGCGCGTCAGTAACCACTCTTCACATTGGCCACACAGCTGACCAATCACCGAGGGGAAAGGCTTAGCCAAGGAGCAGAGTCTGGCCAACAGCTCAGTGTAAAACAGAGACATGTCTGAAACAAGTATGAAAAACAAGTTACTGCATTTGTTTGAATTTTTTGAACATTTCTGTTAACTTTTTACATTTATTTTGGTTAAGAACATTATCTTACACTGCCGTCCCAAAAAAAAAATCCCCAACTGGATTTAACTAAGGCCCCATTTACACGGGAACGCTAACGCAAACGAAACGCAAACGAACCGAATTCGATATTAAAAAAAGTCTTCCGTTAACACGGATACGGCTCAATAAACGTATCCCTTCACACAAGACCGCTCGACCCGCTGGAGACGCTGTAGTACATATGCCGGGCCTGTAAGTGGCGTACTTCCGCCACAAAATACACCAAAAGCAGCGAAGAAGACCCCCGAGCATGGTTGCCTGGTTGCCCTTCTGTTT